TGTAGATTAAAGGGCGGAAGAAACGTTCCATGAAAGAGCCTGGTGATGATGATAATGATGATGATGACAATTATGATGAGTCTGATGAGAGTGAAACAACATATACAAGACGACTGTGCGAACAATAATCATAATACATCTATGTAATTTTTTAGTCCCAAACTTCTGTTTATTTGTGCTTGTGTTTTTTTTATCAGCTACAAATACTTTGTATTTGGCCGAACAAGGAATTTTGGAATCTGGGCCATAGGATTTTAGGAGTAAAGACAGTCATGCATGTCTTCATTGGAAGAGTTCTGTAACAGGTCAATTGTATAATTTAACCTGAATAAACCTGTATCCCAGCTGTTATCTTTTTAGACTTTTTGCTTAACAGTTGGTTGTCAATCACCCTGAATAATAAAGAGCTTTTTAAGGCTCAACCAAAATATGCTAATTTGTTTACAACGATCAACTTCCTGCTAAGAGGTATGCACATGTACAATCTGCGAGCCAGTGAGTCATAAGAGTTATGCAAGAAAAAACTGCAAATTTACTGATTTAGTTTATGCACTCATTTTACCGAAAGGGATTTAGCACTCATTTTAGGGGCTTGGGTTAAGTGCTGTTTAGTGTTAAAGACTTATTTACAACGGTAAGCTTACAGTTACAGTGGTGTAGCCAGGGGAGGGTTCCAGGGGTTCCGGAACCCAACTCCCCCTCTTTATGCTACGGCACCTGCTATAATTTCAAAAAGACTGCCATTTTAGCTGTTACAGAAAATGGAAAGAAAATCAATTAGAAAAAGTATTACATTCTATTTCAAGGATTACATATGAATACTTTGAGGAAGATCATACGGGGCCCCTGTGCATACAAGCCTGGAATTTCAGTGCATTTGCTGGTCTCGATCGATCGCTATCAATTGCGAGTGATAATGGTTTGACTATGACAGGGTTTAATACAATCTCGGTAGAGGCAGAAGGACAGTGTAAACCGCCATAAAAGTGAGAAGGTAGAATGAAATCGGTGTTGATGTTTGCAAATCAGTGCGAGGAAATTGTCTCAAACTGGGACACTACCGCTAACTGCCTAAAACATGCAGTATGCAATTATGCAATTATGACTTTATCATATGCCACCCAGGTTACCATGATGCAGTGCCCTTTGCTTACATAAAAACTACTTCGCACCAGGCTCTTAAAACGAGGCATCGATGTCTATTAGGCTACAATCATCGCAAATTTTCATTTGGCGGCACAAGTGGCTCAACGCGAGAAAAGCCCGTTCTAGTAGTTCAGTTGACGGCTTGGCCATGAATTCTTTCCAAACAACCTGTTTCAAGTACGATACAATTACACATGCAGAAAGTGAGCGATGGCGTAGCACTTTGCGTAGACTTCAAGAGTACTTGACAGCGACCCGCGACTAAAAAGCGAGAGTCCGCTGCACTTGCTCTGATGAACATCCATTGCATTACGCAAATTGGCTTTAGTAAAACAATCGACACCGTTGTACACAGGCATCCATGATGTCTCCTTCTTACTAATATCCTAACTGAATAAACGGCAAATCACAAGACTACAGTGTGGCCTACTCTGGGACCTTAACTCGCCGCAAGATTGTGCGAGCTAATGCGAGTTTAAGCGAGTTAAGGCGAGATAAGGAAAAATTGAGCTCGCCTATTAGTTGCGAGTTTGTGCGAGTTAAGGCGAGTTAAGGCGAGTTAGGGGAAAATGATCCACCTTATGTTGAGGTTATAAGGGTTAAAACTTATAATATGTTTTATAAAGATGCCTTGCAATCTTTGTATTTCTTATATATAATATAGTAGGCTCCATGTTGTCCAATTACGAAAAAATTAAACAAAAAATTTCAGATGAGCTCCAAAGTTGAATGAAGCCAAATCTTGTTTAAATTTATTAATTGAATTATTTTCCTAATTGGACAAGCTTAAGTATGGATATGCTAGTGATTATTATTATTAATTATATAGCATTTAGACACTAAACTATACCATTTGGTGGCTGTATCATAATAATAATAATACTCATCATCATCATCATATATTATTTATTAAAGCTATATAATTATTTGGCAGAATATTAAATTACCAGTAGTGAAGAAAAAAAATGAAAACAAAACAATCATGAATTGATAAAAAAAAATGTAGCTGTAGTATAAGCACAGGTAGGATATTTCATTTTATTTACTTTTTTCAAATCAATAATCCTACGGTATGTTTTAATAGGCAGGTGAGCATAATAGGTATCACATGACATGTCATCAATTGTTATCACTAACTCCAGAATTGAAAAAAAAAATTGTTTTTGCAGTCTGTGTCAATGTTCTTCAAAGAACTAGTATAAAAAACCGGGGAAGCTGACGAATTACAACTCAGCTGACGAAATTTTCATGACACAATCAATTTTACTGAAATGAAATGAAATTTCTTTCTCCTTGAAAATTATAAGACTTATCTTTAAGTCTTCCATTTGATCCATTCTCTCCACTTCCCTGA